GATTACAAGGTCGGTATAGCTTCGGCCTCAGAACCAGAAGGTCCTCGGTTCGTTCCGGATTGAAGGTCACTCGTACTCCGAGGTTAGTAAATTGGTAACACTGTTGGGAGGAAACACTAAACTATACACTAAGTTTGGCACATAGTTGGTGTCAATTCTTTTTTAAAGATAAGGCACTTTTAGCAGATAGCATGGAATGGAGATAATCTTCATAAAAAGGAGGGCGTCACAAATCGCGCACCCATGAAAGTGTATGAAGACCGACATTCTATCGGTTGCAAACATTCCTATCCTTCCATTTTTTATTACGAAGAATAATTTGAAGATAACTTATTATGTTATTTTGTTTCTTGTTTTCTATGCTTTCGCAAAATATCAGTTGCTGACAGTTAGAGCGAGCAAAGTTAATAGGTCGGGTTCAACGGCGGCAACGGAACGGGGTGGTACTCACTGCCGTGGTCCGCCGACGGCAATTCTTACAAACTCGTGCAGTACGGCAGCACACAGGTAGCCGGACGATGGTTGGCAAGAGTAGATGAAGAAATCGAGTACGGTGGCTGCAGCAACGACAGCATCGGTGAGTGTTTACCTTTATCTTTAGGTACAAAAATATTTCTTCTCAATATCTAGGAGTCCTGCAACTTGACAAACCGCAGGCAACTATGCTCGGAGGGTTCACGCTGAACGTCACCGGCCCATGCTTTAGAATCAGCGACGTGCTGAAGATGCAGATTGATGAAACTACCGTTGACTGTGAACGAGTGAGTCTACAGAATTTAAACGCGCAGTTATCGGAGATTTTATATTCGCTAGCTCGATATGGTAATGGCGCGATGCGTGATTCCTGTAAACACTATATTCAAAACTGGTCAAGTAATCATCCGCTTGTCTGTCGATGGAGGAAAAAATTATCCCTGGTGGAACAAGTTTTATATTCGTAAGTACTGTAGATGACGGAAGTGTGCTGTAGATATTAACGACCGACAGTACAGTGTAATATAAAAAAGAAAAGCGCATTTTGATCAATTTCAAGCAATAAAGGTCAAACTGAGGCTAACTTAAGATAAATGAAACAGGAGAATTTGGTGATGCTTACGAGTTTCAGATGTTTAGTTTTATTTCTTTTTTTTCTTTTTGTTTTCGGAAACTGAACCTCTTCGGATTGTACCTTAAAATTTTTTTCACGAAGGAGCAATTTATCTTTAACAAACATGTGTATTGTGATAAAACATGGTGGTTTGTACTTCACAAATCCAATTTCATTTTGCATGGTGGCACAGTGAAAAACCGGACGGCTTTGTGAACTCCACGTGCCGGGTTCCAATCCGTTATTTCGTTGCAGGGACAGCCTTTAACTTAGCTTAATTCTCTTGAGCAAGGTATTAACCTCACGTTCCGGTGGGGTATCCATCCGAAAAATGAGTAGTAAGTCGGTAAGTTGTGAAAAATAGGTTCAGCATGCTGTTCCTGTCTGCTGGTTTCAAAATGGACTACGTTTACAGACGTGCTGTCCAATGCGAGTGCATTTTATGGCTGCACTTCACTGTGAACTTACTTAGTTGATTCCTAAATGATTACGGAATTATAATTTTAGGAGTCATGAATCTTCGCTTGCTTACATGATTCACTTCGTTGTTAC